CCTCAAATGTTTTACTTAGCCTCACTAACGATGAGAATACCATTTGGTAGAACGTGCCCCCCCCCCCCCCTCAAATGTTTTACTTAGCATCACTAAGGCATGTGTTTTCAAAATCTGAAGCCAATTGGTTGACGTTGTACTTTCAAACATCATGTCGGGAAATAATTCCCGGCTCCCCTTTAAGACAGCGAAATCTGGCAGACCTTCACGGTATAGGTTACCTATTGCAAAAAATTTCAGATCTCTATGACCATTACCCTAACAGTAGTTTAACACAGCAGAAGTGAGTCCGAACGGACAAAACGTAACATTTTTTTTTCATTCTTAAAAAAATGCGCTTCAAATGGGGGGACTTATTATTCGAATGTCCATTTCCCTTGGTCTTGTTCTGCTCGTGAACGCAACTTTTAAACAAATAAAAGTTTTTGTAAAATTATTTACTAATGAAATGATTCTTCTCTCACTAGAAATTGATAAATTAAAACACATTTGGTCAACCTCAAAATAATGTTAATCAACTATCGATTAGGAATAAAAGTTCATTTATTGTTTTTAAACAGCAGATTCATATAAAAATCGAACGAGAACTCTTTAAAGAAACTAAAGTAAATACTACTATGCAAAAATAATGACTACGCGGCTAACTACTTCCGTGCTAGACTACAACGCAAATATGGAAAATTATTCCTTTCTTATAAAATTTTTACAAAAGTGAGTCGTACTCAAAAAAGACATGCGATTGTTGATAGTAAAACGCACCCATAATTAGAACTGTACGAAATCCGAACACCAAATAATATAAATTACAGTACCTACTTTTTGTTCCTTTCTGCACGCTTGGTCCATGTAGATGGAAATTGGCCGGCGAACATCGCGGATGCTAAATCAGAACTGTCATATACTTATAATGAGATTTTCTCGGTGATACGTAGAGGTGCGGAGAAACAGTCCTCTGGGTAATACTATCTATCTTCTAATCGCTTCGTCAACAGGAAAACCCTTATACAGTTGGTCGTGTGCTGAAGATAGCAAATGCTCCGTTCACTAAACGATTTCTGACTGTGTACTAGATACTCTACTCGACTGCGAATTACGCTTACATTGTGCTAGCAGAAAATGCTCTAGAATGGATGGCGATAATGGTGGTTACGACTTATATCGAATTTTTCTGAACAGTCCGCTTTCTGTCACAAAGGTGCAGACACTGCTTTCAATGCGTTTTTTTAATTTCCTTAATCCTAAAGTATACACTATCAATAGTCGACATACTCATTACCGATGCCTGTTTCACATTCTAAAATGATATCTGTTACAGCCTTCGAACGCTCTTTAATTAAAGAGAAAGGAATAGTCGTACATATCAAAAAGTTGTCTGTTGCCGTTTGGGATTTTTAAATGAAGTTGGTTCGATTGTTACATCATTGTATTAATTAATGTGACTGCGCTCGTTTCTCATTATCTAACTTTTTTGCGGTTCTATCTTTCCAGCGGTTTCGTCTATTATTAATTAGAAGTACGAATACAAAGATGGATTGTCGTATCGTAATATCGTACACCACCCCTAAAATCGGTACATCGAACTTTTCGTTTAATTATAAACGTCGATGCCGTAGCCTGCATTGACTGGGAATCATTTTCCAATAATAATTGTTAGCGTATAATAATTGGTGCATTCAATATTCTATTTCAACAAAATTTCACAATTCCGGTGGTAACCAAATTTGTGAATACCGCGTTTTGCAGTAACTGCCAATTAATGCACACACCATACTTTTATTGAAACGAGTAATTCTCAATTAAGTGCGCCGCCATTTATTGTTGTAATAAGTTTGTCAACTGGAGGGAAGATAATATAAAATGGGAAGGCAATAAAAATGCAAATGTTCGCAAACTTAGAATCTAAGAAAATTTGATTAAGTAACTAGAACAATAAAGATATTTAATTTTTATTCTGCTTGAGCATTCGTCGGCGAAAAGGTAAAGTTGTAAAGGGAAAAATTGCAGATTTCTGACGGCGAGGTTTTACGATTCCGAGCATAAAATGAATTACTTATTCCGGGTTTTTTAAAATGTAATTAATGACATTTATTAATAGGTCAAATGGAACATTTCCAATTAGTTACCTTGTATGGAATCGTTCACCCAACTTATACTTCATTATGTTACATAGGGCGTGTAATTAGACCTTTTCTTATTTGTATAGTACTAATAACTTTCAAGATTCGAGCCGTTTAAGGGTCGTATGATAATTAAAATACTTCTTAATAATTACCGAGCTTATTCTTTGTGGGCACAACAAAATGAAAAATGATTATATAATTAGGTAATATAAAAATTGGGGGAAATTAAAGTGCCAAAAATAAAATTAATGCAGTCGGCTGGTACAGATACTAATTTTGTAATTACATTGTAGCTTCTACCATGAAAATTAGAAGTCAAAGAACTTTTGGTAAAGTCCGCGTTTATGTCGTGTTTAGGGAATTTCACGATTGTTAGTTAGGAAATAACAGGTGAATTCAAACAGCCTTTGATTCTACTGTTCGAGGATCCGTATGTTAAAATTTTGCATGTGCTGCACATTATTGATAAACTCTTCAAAATTGGAACGACCGATTTGGATGAAATTTCTTAATTTATCTAACAGTTAACTATACAACAAATGCAGTAATGATGAAAGGAAATCCTAGTGGTGAACAATGTGGCCTGATAAAGAACTTGGCGCAAATGCATGTCCATTAACCTAGCAGAGCAAGGTCAGCACAACACAATCAAACATATTGCAAAATTAGGTGCTAATTAAGTGTCCTTAATAAAAGATTTAAGTTATTACATCGTCATGTGAAGTTCGTTGAGAAGTTTTTTTTAATTTGTCCGTCTTCGGAAAAAGTACGTATGTGTGTCGACCAAGCAAGTTGAGGCATGATTCTGTGAAATTCAGAAGCTGTCAACATTTGTGTGAGTTGAGTGCACTTAGTGCTCCTAACCTTTTACCATTAAATTATTTGAATTATTTAAAAAAAACCGTAAATAATTCAATATTTTTTTATTTTAATGATCGATCGCTTGCGTGCTGTGTAATATGTCCAAACGGGCTTTGTTAGTATTTCTTTCGTACAGCCATTCTGCTTTAATTCTTTCATGTGCGTCGAAATAAATTTTTGGCATTGTTATAGTTATTTATGGTATATGTGTGTTATATTACAAATAAGTCACGCGAGAAAAAAGTAAGCCCACGAGGCCGTCAGACCGAGTGGGGTTATTTTCTCAAGTGACTTATTTGTAATTAACACACGTGCACCATACAAAACTTTATCCAACACCTCCTCAAGCTGGTTTAAAACGTGGTAAATCTTAAAAACTGCGTGTTCCGCGAAAAGCTAGAGTGCATGGAATACAAAAGCAATAATTCGTTGCTATGGGGAATAATAAACAACAAAAAATTTAGTCAGAAAATTTTCTGAATAATGGCAGATTTGCAAGAACCCCTTTTTGTTCCTGAAGAAGTAATGAAACAGGCTGAGGCAGCATGTCTTAGTTTGCTGCCAAGAAAATACAATTACGACAAAGAGTTCCGCCAGTTTGAAGAATGGAGGGAACAGCAAGGTCTGAATGGAGTCAACGAAGAGGTCATGCTGGCTTATTTCCACAATTACAGAAGAAAATTGGCACCTTCTTCGATGTGGACGAAATATTCCATGGTAAAAAGTACTTTGAAGGTATATAAGAATGTCGACATATCAAAATATGGAAAACTGATAAGCTATCTGAAGAATGAAGCAAGGACTCACAAACCTAAAAAGGCGAAGACTTTGGAAAGAGAACATGTAGAGAAGTTTTTGACACAGGCACCTGATAGTAAATACTTGATGATAAAGGTACCGATTCATAATTTCTTTATATATTAGCTTTATGTTCATGTGTTTTGTATTTTTCTAGGTTGCATTGGTAATGGGGATATCAGGTGCCTGTCGTTGTGATGAAATCACCAAACTGACAGTTGATGATATTGAAGATAAGGGAGGATACTTATATGTCTCCATACCCGACTCGAAGACAAATGTGTCACGAAGTTTTACTATCATGACAGAAGGATTCTCTATAAACATTCTGGAGCTGTACAGGAAATATGTTTCTTTGAGACCCAAGAACGTTCCACACCGCAGATTTTTCGTGAATTACCAGAAAGAGAAATGCATTATCCAGGCAGTTGGTATAAATACCATATCTAAGGTACCCCAGGCAGTTGCTTCCTTCTCGAACCTACCCGAAGCCCACTCATATACTGGACACAGCATGAGACGTGCGTCTGCAACTCTTCTGGCAAACGCAGGAGCCGATATAACAACACTGAAACGCCACGGTGGATGGAAATCGTCCACGGTGGCCGAAGGCTATATCCAAGATTCAGTCAACAACAAAATCGATATAGCCAAAAGGATTCAAGGAGGCGCCAAAAAAAGTCGTTGATATTCCGTTAGCCTCGACTTCCTTCTCGAATGAAATGGATTGTGTTTCTGTTGAAAATTCTTCCGACATACTTCATGATTCCAAGGCAACATCGAAGAAGAAAACGATTTCCTTTAATTTCAATATCAATGTGAATTTAAATTAGATTTTTGTGTTGATTTTGTCAGAATAATTAATAAAAGAATGTTCCTGTACTTTATCTTGCTAGTGAGTTATTTTACGTCCAGAGTGGGTTATATTATACCTTACTCGTTTAATTTCGTCATGATAATGACTGGATAACATAGAGGTGTTGGATAAATCAATTAATTGTATGTTTATTTGAATCCAAAGTGCGGCCCAGATAGGGGTTTTCAAGTCAGATTATTTCTAAGTATTAAAATAAAACGCATCTTTCTACGTGGTCGTAGTACTGAGATTTAAAACTCTCGGACGCAGGGATTTCATGTAGGTATACGCTGAATTTTTCTGTAAAAATGAAAATTTCCCTTTACTTCTGAGTTCGCACCTGGTTCACTATCGAACACATTTGATTATAGCATCAGGAGGCTCAGAAAAATAGTAAGTGTCAATCTGACATATCTTTCAATGTGCATCGAATTTTTCGAAGTGCTTAATTTTACTCTCTTTTACAACTCATCACTGTATCATGCCCATTAGAAAGAAACATGACGATAGCGTTCTCAAGCCAAATAAATATCCGGACATAAACGATGTGATATCGACCGTGTTCGGTGAGAATATAACTGCGGCGCTCAAGGAGCTTGGACAAAGACGCGGAAAGTATACCAAACATCTCGAAAAGGAGACTGAAAAGACAAAGCTCAAGTCGGAGGATGTGCGACCGGAATATCCTAAGATTGCCAAAAAGAAAACGCCTCACGAATCGCTCTATAATATGGCCTTATCTTTACCGACTACTCCAAACACGAAATACTTGGATCGCGCAATTTGGAAAAAGTTGTCTTGTAAGGGTTTGGAGAAAGTGTACCAGGAATGCTTTTGGAAACTTGTTGACGAGGTTCGGGAAGGATTTGTAAATGTTACCCATCAAATTGGTGTTGTTTGCGTTGTGAAACCTCCGAACGATTCCATTGAAGGCCATCAAGATATTCCGCCATACAAGCACGATGGAAGAACACCCCTCTATAGTAACTTTCTCAAAACGGTCGAGAAATTAAACACCAGGTTAATGATAACTCATCCTTTAATGAGAAACATTTTCAGAATGTGCACACAGGATTTGCCCGAATGTCTGTTCACTCTGACAGCGTATCGAGATAGAACGTACGATATTTCGGAATTGTATCCTACATTCGATGAACAAATTAAGAAAGCGCGGGAGGTCATTCTTACGTGGTACAGGCACGTTGTCAATTACGTTCAGAAACATTCCAAGTTTTCCAAAAAGTTACAAAAGGTAATTTACTCGTGCGGCACCAAGTTAATGGGAACATTTCTGACCAAAACTATACGTACTACAATTGAACACGTTATCGAAGTAACAGAGTGTGGAGAAAACATGCCATTCATAACCATGGATATGCACTACGATAAGAAAATTGTTCTTCGACCATCTCTTCCTAAAATTTGTCATTTGTACGTGCAACTTGTTGGGAAAATAATTTCGATTGGGAAAGATTTACCGTCATTGGAGTCGTTGTGTTTCCCAGAGTTCGAATCGGTTTCAATTCCAATTTTCGTAGGCTCTGACGTGAGTGAGTTTTACGAACGTCGCGTAAAGTATAACATTGTTGCGCTTTTCGCCCCCGTTAATATGTATGTTAAGACCTTAAACGCGGAGTTTGCGTGCGTGTATTTGGAACGGGAGAAGTGGAGTAGTGAAATTTTGCCGGATGACCATAACGACGCCAGTCCTGTGGACTACATCCGTTCGGGTAGTATTTTTAGAAAGGATTCGGTGATTCCTTCGGATTTTAGTGACTTTGCACGATCGGGTAGCGAAAGCAATATGGTTGAACGGATTCGCAGGCAGTCGAGCGTATTTGTCAAACGTTTTTCTATTGCGCCTGGTCAGGAGGCTTCCGGTGATTTGGGTCACCTGTTTGAAGAATTGGAGGAGGAAGACCATGATGATTCTTTAAAAGAAGAGATATCCTTTGAGGAAGGTTACGCGAAAGTGGCAATTTACCGCTCTTACCTGGATAGATTGGCAGTTATGATAGACATTGAACATTACTTAGTTGGTCAGTTGGTGCAATCTTCTTGTAGGGATGCCATATGTAACGCTATCAATGATATGATATACAAAGTCGCGCGGAAGTTGGTCATCCAGCATACTTGGCTGAATGAAGACATCTGCGAACAGTTCGAAATGATTAAACTGAGAGCACTTACTGTGCCACAAAGTTCCGAGGAATTAATGGAGCAAGGCGCTTATATGGTTTGGGCAGCAACCGACCATCTTAACGATCTGACTGAGAGGCTGCACCTTTCCGTTCAAGTCATTTGTAATCTAGCGGAAATGATAACTTTAACATGGGAGCACATGGATTTGAATTCCAAGACCATGAAATGGATCCACGACATCAAGCCAATAATCGAAAAAAACGCTTCCATATACGAATCGGTCAAGTCTGAATTTGAAGATAGGCTGCAGAGAGCAATTACGAAGCTACATCGAGACATCGAAATCTATTTCCCCTTGTTAGATGCGTTGAACCAAATGGACGACGCGGCCAATAGCAGATCGTACATTTTGCAACTAGCGCCTTTGATGGCCAAAGTTCGTGATTTCGACAACCTTCTTGTTTGGATTAACAAAGAAGAGCGAGTTTTTAAAGTCGCATTAACGGCCTGTCCCGATCTGAGAGCCATTCAGGCACACTTGTATCCGTTCTATCGGCTCGTCAAGGTTTGCCTAACGATAGTAAGAAAACAGGACGCGTGGATGTATGGCCCTTTTGAATTTTTGAATTTTTCCGAAGCCGAAGCCATAATGGAGGATTGTTTCAAAGAACTCCAAAAAACGCAAAAAACTTACAAGTCTAAAATCAAGCTCTCGAATCAGGAGAACGTCTACTTAAAATTTTCTGGTAGTGTCGATGATTTGGATATTCTGAAACAGCCCTCTCCATTGAAGTTGTGTGCAAAAGCTCTTCAAATGATAAAAGACTTCAGGCCGAATCTAAACATGATGAACATCATGTGCAACGACGCAATGTTACAACGGCATTGGGACGACATGTCGGATATCGCCGGATTTGATATAACACCAGATGCCGGAACGACGCTGGCCAAATTTATGAATCTGGGTATAATACACGAAATCGACAAATACGAGGTTATCAGTAGTGGTGCCATTAAAGAGCGACAACTTTTGCAGAACCTCATTAAAATGCAGGCCGAGTGGGACACCGTAATGTTTAAAACTAGCGTTTTTAAAGATACCGGAATTAACATTCTGACAGCTCTGGATGACATTCAAGCCATTTTAGATGAACATATAGTAAAAACGCTCACCATGAGGGGATCAGTTTTCGTTAAACCGTACGCGGCCCAAGTAGGTGCTTGGTACGAAAAGATACTGCGCGTTAATTCGACTTTAGACGAATGGGCCAAGGTGCAGGCGCAGTGGCTATACCTCCTCCCAATTTTCTCGTCGAAAGACATCGTTAGCCAAATGCCAGAGGAGGGCCTAATGTTCAAGGAGGTCGACGGCATTTACCGACGCTATTTGAATCTCATTGTGCGCGAGCCGAAAGTGATCGATAGCGCACCGCAACCTGGTCTTTTGGAGAACATGCAACTCTGTACGAAAATATTGGACAAAATTAACGAGGGAGTTACGGCGTACCTCGAGAAGAAAAGGGTGTATTTCCCCCGTTTCTTTTTCTTGTCGAACGACGAAATGCTCGAAATATTATCCGAGACGAAAGATCCGCTGCGCGTGCAACCTCACTTGAAGAAGTGCTTTGAGGGTATTAATTGCTTAGAATTTGACCACGCACTCAAGATCCATGCAATGTTCAGCGGGGAGGGTGAGAAGGTTCATATACTCGAAGTAATCGATACGGTGGCAGCGCGAGGTAGCGTCGAGAAGTGGTTGCTACAAGTCGAAGGTGAAATGATCGCCGCCGTTCATGACCAAATCTTTCAGAGTTGGACGGCTTACCAAGAGACGTACAGGACGGAGTGGGTGACACATTGGCCGGGGCAGGTAATTCTCGCGGTCTCGCAAATATTTTGGACTCTCGATATCCATCAAGCACTAGGCGCACAGTCACAATCTTCCTTTAAAGATCTGCTGAAACAGCTCAAAATCGATCTGAATGAGATTGTCGCTTTAGTGCGGAGCACGACGATAAGTAATCTGACGAGGATTACTATTAAAGCTCTGATTGTCATCGATGTACACGCAAAGGACGTTGCCGAAGATTTGTATGATAAGAACGTGAAGAACGACATGGAGTTTAAGTGGCTCGCGCAGTTGCGGTACTATTGGGAGGAGCGCTGTATGGTCAGGATTATAAACGCCACGGTGAAGTATGCCAACGAATATTTGGGTAATAGTGATCGGCTTGTTATCACGCCATTGACGGATAGATGTTATCGCACGCTTGTGGGTGCCTACTATCTACACTTAAATGGCGCACCTGAAGGTCCTGCTGGCACTGGTAAAACAGAAACGACAAAGGACTTGGCCAAAGCCTTAGCTGTGCAGTGCGTGGTCTTCAACTGTTCAGACGGCTTAGACTATAAGGCCATGGGGAAATTCTTCAAGGGTCTTGCAGCTTCGGGGGCGTGGGCCTGCTTCGACGAGTTTAACCGAATTGACGTTGAGGTGCTCTCTGTGGTCGCTCAACAAATCCTTTGCATTGTGCTAGCAGTTCGCGCGCACGCTGAGAAGTTCGTGTTCGAAGGAACAGAATTAAAGTTGAATCCCGGATGTTACGTTTGCATCACGATGAACCCGGGGTATGCCGGTCGATCCGAACTGCCTGACAATCTGAAGGTGTTATTTCGCACCGTTGCAATGATGGTACCGGATTACGCGATGATCGGCGAAATTTCTCTGTATTCCTACGGTTTCGTAGACGCGCGAACCCTCTCCGTGAAGATCGTGACCGTTTATCGACTATGTTCTGAACAGTTATCGTCTCAAAATCACTACGATTACGGAATGAGAGCTGTGAAATCTGTATTATCTGCTTGTGGCAACAATAAGCGCAAGTACCCAGATGAAAACGAAGATATCTTGCTCCTGAGGTCAATCTTGGACATTAACCTGGCCAAATTCTTAGCCCATGACGTTCCCTTATTCGAGGGTATCATTTCCGATTTGTTTCCTGGCGTTGTTTTACCAGAAGTAGATTATTCCTCGTTTGAAAACTGCATACGGATCGGTTGCGAAGCTCGCAACTTGCAAATGAAGCACTGCGTTGTCCTGAAGATCATTCAAACGTACGAAATGATGATCGTTCGCCATGGCTTTATGTTAGTGGGCGAACCATTCGCGGGGAAAACAATGACTCTGAAAGTGTTGGCCGAAGCCTTGAGTCTTCTATCGCAACAAGGCGAAAATCAATTGCCCGTAAAGTATCAGTTCATTAACCCCAAATCAATTACGATGGGACAATTGTATGGACAATTCGATCCAGTTTCTTACGAATGGTTTGATGGTGTTGTGGCTACGTGTTTTCGCAACTTTGTCATGGACACGTCGCCGGATAGGAAATGGGTCATATTCGATGGACCTGTTGATGCAGTTTGGATAGAGAATATGAATACGGTACTGGATGACAACAAAAAGTTGTGCTTGATGTCTGGAGAGGTAATGGCCATGACTAATGTAATGTCGATGATCTTTGAAGTAATGGACCTGTCTCAAGCATCTCCGGCAACTGTAAGAATTGTTTTAATCTGCGTGTATTGAACAGGTTCTTTTAGGTGTCTCGTTGTGGAATGATCTACATGGAACCGGCGACGTTGGGTTGGCGTCCCCATGTGGAGTCTTGGCTTCCCACATGCAGCACTGAGTGGACATCTGGACGTGAGGATTACATTTTCGCAATGTTTGACTGGGTGGTACCGCCGTCTTTATACTTCATCCGTAAGTTTTGTAGACAACTTTGTTCAGCCGGTGACGTCAATTTGGTTAAAAATATGATGCAAATTATGGAGATGATTTTAACTGATGGATGTCGGGAGTCGACAAGGAAAGAAGAGGATTTTAAATACATGCATAACTGGATTCAAGGCGCTACAGTTGTGGGCATGGCTTGGGGACTAGGTTCCATCTTGGACACCTCATCTAGAGAAAAATTCGACGAGTTTTGTAAAACTCTTCTTCGAGGAGAAGACGAGGAAAATCCATATCCACTGATCATAGACAAACTGGAAATCCAACTACCGCACGACGGACAGTTGTTTGACTACTCCTTCATTTTCCGGAGCAAAGGATCGTGGAAATATTGGCCCGATATAGCGAAAGGGTTGAGAGTCGAAGAAGCTGCTAACATCCAGCAAGCGTTAATACCAACCGTGGATACCGTCAAGTACATGTCTATGATTGAGTTACATCTAAAGTATAAGTTGCCTGTCCTGCTAGTCGGTCCGACTGGAACGGGAAAAAGCTACTACATGCAAGACTTGCTGATGAACAAATTAAACCAGGAGCAATACGAACCCGCATTTGTGACTTTCACTGTGAAGATATCCGCGAATCAAACTCAAGACCTGATTGTTTCGAAGTTAAATAAAAGGAGGCGTGGTCACTATGGACCTCCTGTTGGCAAGTTGTGCATCATATTTGTAGATGACATGAATATGCCGGTTAAAGAAGTGTACGGGGCGCAACCACCCATAGAGTTGCTAAGGCAGTATTTCGACCACAAGAATTGGTACGATATCAAAGACACCACCCCATTATATCTACATGATATCTTAATAACCTGCGCCATGGGACCTCCTGGCGGAAGTAGACAAGACGTGTACGCCAGATTTCTGCGACATTTCAGCATTTTCTCCATCAACGAATTTTCCGAAGACACGATGTCGAAGATTTACTCAAACATTCTTTTACTGGGATGGAAGAACAACGGATTCCCGAGTGATATAATCAACGTTGTGCAGCAACTGGTATACGCAACTTTAGACGTTTACAAAGCGGCGATCAAAAACCTACTACCGACCCCTGCCAAAAGTCATTATATATTCAATTTGAGAGATTTTTCCAGAATAGTATGCGGGTGTGCGATGTTACGAAAGGAGTCTGCTGACAACAAGACCATATTCCCCAAAGTTTGGACGCATGAAGTGCTTCGCGTCATATACGATCGACTAGTAGACGATAACGACAAGAATTGGCTTTTCAACAAAATCAAGACCTCCGTCAAGTCCTTTTTTAAAGAACATTTTGAACAAGTATTCGAGAATTTGAAAGACGAAAATGGACAGATCACAGAAGCGTGCTTGCAAAACTTGATGTTTGGCACGTATTTAGACACAGAGGCCAGCGATGAAGATGCAAAGTACGAAGAAGTCGTAACGGCCGAGTCCTTTTTAAATGTTGCACGTGCATCTCTAGATGAGTATAACTCCACTCATAAAACGAAAATGGATATAGTATTGTTCAAATACGCTCTGGAGCACTTGTCTAAAATTTGTCGAATCTTGGCAATGCCCAGCGGTAGCGCCCTACTGGTTGGGGTTAGCGGATCGGGACGACAGTCACTGACGAAAGTCGCCTGTACAATCACCGGCCATTCATTTTTTCAACCAGAAATCACAAAGAACTACGGAATGAACGAGTGGCGGGATGACCTTAAGAGAGTCGTCAAGGAAGCTGGGGGAAGGGGAAAGCAAACTATCTTCCTATTCACCGAGGGGCAAATCAAGGAAGAAGGATTTTTGCAAGACATCGACGGTTTACTGAACGCCGGAGAGGTCCCAAATATATTTCAAATAGAAGAAAAGCAAGAAGTTATGGAACTATGTCGGCTCGCAGCTCAAGGGGGCAATAGAAACTTGGACATTAGCGCTTTGGCTGTGTTTTCCTACTTCATCAAACGCACACGTGAAAAACTGCACATGATATTGTGTTTTAGTCCCATAGGTTCATCATTTCGATTGCGACTTCGATTATATCCCTCGCTAGTGAACTGCTGTACCATTGACTGGTTCCAAGATTGGCCCGAAGATGCACTGGAAATGGTCGCTCACAGTTGGATGGGTGATGTTAATCTCGATAACGCCGTCAAAAATTCTGCAATAATCGCCTGCAAATATTTCCACGTGTCTGCTAGAAGAATTTCTAACGCGTTTTTCACGGAAACCTCTCGAAAGTCCTACATCACGTCGGCATCCTATTTGGAACTGATTAAGATATTTACAGAGCTGACCAATAAAAAGCAGAAGGATCTACTGCTCGCCAAAAGTCGGTATGTGGTCGGTTTAGAAAAACTGCAGTTCGCTGCGGAACAAATTTTCGAAATGCAAGTGGATTTGGAAGCCTTGCAACCCGAACTGAAGGTGATGAGCGGGAAGGCTACCCAAATGATGGAGCAGATCGCTAAGGAAACCATAGAAGTCGAACGTGCCTCGGCGCTTGTCAGAAAGGACGAAGAAGTGGCAAACGCGCAAGCCGCCGAAGCTCAAGCTTTGAAAGCGGAATGTGAAGCCGATTTGGCATTAGCGATTCCGATATTGGAGGAAGCCACAGCTGCACTAAACACCTTGAAACCTGCAGACATAACCTTAGTTAAAGCAATGAAGAATCCCCCAGAGCCCGTCAAGTTAGTAATGGCGGGTGTCTGTGTTATTAAAGATATAAAACCAGACCGACTACCCGATCCAGCGACGGGTAAAAAAATTTTAGACTACTGGGGGCCGAGCAAACGAGTTTTGGGCGACATGAACTTTCTTCAATCTTTAAAAGATTTCGATAAGGATAACATAAGGGTGGACATTATGGCGCAAATTCGTAAAGAATATTTACCTCACAAGGACTTCAAGCCTGAAATTGTAGCTAAAGCTTCAAGTGCCGCGGAAGGTCTTTGTAAATGGATTATAGCGATGGATATGTACGATAAGGTTATCAAGGTAGTAGCCCCTAAGAAGGCCAAATTGAATAAAGCCGAGGAAGACTATTCTGCAACTATGGCAATTTTAATGGAGAAGAAATCTCAAGTTGCAAAGTTGGAGGAGAAGTTGGCCAATTTGAACGAACTGCTCGAGGAAGCTTCGGCTAAAAAACAGGAGTTGCAGGATCGCGTAGATTTGTGCGGCAATAAATTAGTACGTGCCAATCAGCTAATTGGTGGTCTGGGAGGTGAAAAAACCCGATGGACGCTCGCCGCAAACGGATTGCAGAACTTGTACGATTGCTTAGCGGGCGACATTCTCTTATCATGTGGAATGATCGCCTACCTCTCTCCGTTTACGATGCAATGGCGACTTGACGCACTGGAAGACTGGTCAAAGTTCGTCCGAAGTATGAGCATCCCATCTTCCCCAACCTACGATTTCGCCGCAACTTTGGGAAGCGAAATTAAAATTCAAGATTGGTACATCGCCGGATTACCTCGCGACGCGTTTTCAACGGGCAACGCCATCATTCAAGACAACTCGAAGCGTTGGTCTTTGCTAATAGATCCGCAATCGCAGGCGAACCTGTGGATCAAAAAGATGGAAAAGAAAAACGACATTCGCGTAACCAAGTTTTCCGATGGTAATTATATGAAGGTTTTAGAATATTGCGTGGAATTTGGAAAACCGGCGCTGGTCGAAAATATTCGCGAGGATCTCGAGGCGCCTTTAGATCCGCTACTGTATAAATCATATTTCAAACAAGCTGGAATGATGGTGATCGCACTCGGTGAGAATATCATCCAATACCATAAGAATTTTAAACTGTACTTGACCAGCAAAATGAGGAACCCCCATTACCTCCCGGAGGTGTTTAACAAGGTGACGATTATCAATTTTGCCCTTACCATCGCTGGGTTGGAAGATCAGTTATTGGGAATTGTGGTGGCGAAGGAGCGGCCCGATTTGCAGAGAAAGCGAGAGGAACTTATAATTGAGAGTGCCGAAAATAAAACTGCTTTGGCAAATATTGAAGAAATGATTCTGAGAACGCTGTCTGAATCTCAAGGTGATATTCTCGAGGATGAGAGTGCTATTCGAATCTTAGACCAATCGAAGGCGATATCAATTGACATCATGAACAAGCAGGTCATAGCTAAAGAAACCGAAGAAAAGATCGAGCTCTTTCGTTTGGATTATAAACCCGTGGCTACCCACTCCGCTGGTTTGTACTATTGCATTTCGGATCTCCCTAACATTGACCCTATGTACCAGTACTCCTTGGGGTGGTTTATCAATTTATACGTTAGCTCGATCGACACGGCCAGTAAATCGCGCGAGCTGAATAAACGTATAGGGTACTTGCAAGATAATTTTACTTACAACCTCTACGCGAACGTTTGCCGGTCTCTCTTTGAAAAGGACAAATTAATGTTCTCCTTTTTGCTTTGCGTGAAGATTATGCTGTCAAAAAACAAAATAGATGAAAGGGAGTATACTTTTTTGATTACCGGGGGCATAGACGTCGACAATCCTATTCCCAATCCATCGTCTGGATGGCTTAGCGCCAAGTCTTGGGGGGAAATTTGTCGCTTGGACAGTGTGACGACCTTTGGAGGTTTTCAAAAATCGTTTGCTCAAAATTTATCTGCTTGGCAAGCGCTGTACGATTTGGTCGAACCACAAAACTCGCCGCTACCTGCGCCCTGGGATACGAAGTTGACATCCTTCCAAAAACTTCTAGTAATCCGCACGCTTAGACCCGATAAAGTAACGGTGAGTATTTCGAAGTACGTGTGCGAAGAGATGGGTACAAAATTCATAATTCCTCCGCCTTTCGATATTGCAAAGTCTTTTGAAGAGTCCAGCTGCGTTTGTCCCCTCGTGTTTATACTATCCGCCGGAACGGATCCGATGGCCGCACTACAGAAATTTGCCGAAGTGAAGGGTTACTCCGATAAGCTTAGGTGCATATCTCTGGGCCAAGGTCAAGGGCCTATAGCGCAGGCTTTGGTAGAACAAGGACAGGATGAGGGATCTTGGGTATGTTTGCAAAATTGCCATCTCGCCGTGTCCTGGATGGTACCTTTGGAGAAACTGTGGGAGGGCTTAGATTTTGCTAATACACATAACCACTTCCGTTTGTGGTTAACCAGTTACCCGTCCGACAAGTTTCCGGTTACTATTCTTCAAAATGGCGTCAAAATGACGAACGAACCGCCAACAGGATTGCAACAGAATTTGCTGAGGTCCTATATTAACGACCCGCTAAAGAATGAAGCGTTTTACACTGGGTGTCCAGGACGAGAGCTAATGTTCGCTAGATTGCTTTACGGCATTGCGTTTTTCCACGCCGTCATTCAAGAACGAAGGAGCTTCGGGCCCTTGGGTTGGAATATACCGTACGGTTTTAATGAATCTGATTTCGATATATCGGTGCAGCAGCTTCGAATGTTTATTAACGAGTATCAAGATGATCCCTACGAGGGAGTTTGTTATTTAACCGGCGAATGCAACTACGGAGGAAGGGTAACGGACGACTGGGATCGTCGCCTGATTGTGACATTGCTGCAGCATTACCTAAATCCCAGAGTCGTGCTGGATCCGAATTACTCATTTTCGGATGTTGCCAGCTACTACACCATTCCGAAGAAACCCGATTACGACGTGTACATAGCGCACATCACTTCACTGCCACAATTTCATCCGCCTGAAGTGTATGGGTTACATAGCAACGCGGGCATAACACGCGATTTACAGATCTCGTATTCTCTACTGAACGCCATGATCTTGCTGCAAGGAGAAGGGACGTCGGGGAGCGGCGACGAGGATGTTTTTCTAAATTTGGTTACGTCCGACATTCTCTCCAAGTTGCCTAATAATTTTGACCTGGAAGCAGCAAAGCATAAATATCCTGTGATGTACGGAGAGTCGATGAACACCGTCTTGGTGCAAGAAATGGAACGTTTCACCAAATTACAGAACGAAATCCGTAGCTCATTGCAAAACATACAGAAGGCGATAAAAGGCCTTATCGTGATGACTCCCGCACTCGACATGTTGCAAAGCTCTCTACTTTTGGGACGTATACCCGCAGCTTGGGCCAAAGTCTCGTATCCCAGCTTGAAATCGCTTCCCAATTACATATCCGACTTTGTGGATCGCATCAACTTCCTCGACAACTGGTTTAAGCACGGCAAACCGCAAAACTTCTGGCTATCGGGTTTCTTCTTTACTCAAGCGTTCCTAACGGGCGCGAAGCAAAACTACGCCCGAAAGTACGCCATACCCATAGATCAATTAACTTTTGATTTTGAGGTTTTCAAAGTGACGAGCACGGATCACGCTCCTAGCGATGGAATTTACGTTTACGGTTTGTACACCGACGGCGCCAGGTGGAATGTCGAAAAGGGCGTGTTAGCAGAACTGTATCCAAAAATTTTGTACGATAGTATGCCGCTGATTTGGTTAATCCCCATTAACGTAGCGCAGTACGTCGAATCGGGTAGATATAAGTGTCCACTTTATAAGACGTCTGAAAGAAGGGGGGTACTTTCTACGACTGGACATTCCACTAATTACGTGTTACCGTTTCTTCTGAATACTGATAAGCACCCTTCTCATTGGATTAAGCGGAGTGTTGCTTTGTTGTGCCAACTTAATTGACGCACTCATTTTTCTAGTTGTACACGGTTTTAGTATGTATTATCTATTTACACCTGTATTTGAAGTAATATATAAATATTTCTTTGTTTATGCCAATTTCCGTGAAGCGCGATTTCCTTAGATGATTAAATCTCGTGGAAATGTAGGCCAAACGCAAAAGAGCGAAAAAATGATTGATCCGGTTTTGAAGGACCAACTTGTAGTTGGAGTAGGCATCGTGTGAGCCGAAAATTTTTTTGTTAATTTTTGTAGATGGTTTTTTTACAAAAACAAATAGAAATTGAAAAGTCGAGTTGTTGGGGCAGTTTTCTGAAAGCTTCAACTGTAGTTCATAGAAGAAGAATAGAATGAAAAAAGTAATATGAGCGTTATGAGCTCGCACATACTATATTATGGGTTCATTATTATACTTCCAAACAATACATGGTGGACTTTTGAACAGCTTTTATAGTTTATTAGTTATGAATTAAAATAAAAAATATCTCTTTCTTGTTCTTTCTCATTTTTTTGCACCTCATATCTTGAAATGTATTTGCTGATCGCAAAAGTGTAATAGGTTTTTTCTATTGCAAATTTCGCAACACCCTGTATTATAATAACCACCTAGTGTAACTTAAACGAGGACGAGTTAAAATGTATTGATACAAAATGCTTCTCAGACAACGTAAAAACTCATACGTACATTACTTGAAAGTTTAGGTGTTGGAGTTATTGATCAATTATTCAGTTGCTACGTTTCATATTGATTAAATAATGAAATGAAAACAGTTCCTAGCGTTTACACGATGTTTCTTTTTTGGTTTATGGTACGAGTACTTATTTACTCATAAGTGCATGTCTTTCTATATTAAAACGCGTATCCGTAATCCATAGTGAGTTTAAGTGCGACAAGTTAAGTGTGAACGATTTCTTTTTCAACCATGCCCTTTCGAAAGAATAGGGTGGGGACCGCGTTTGTACCGAATAAATATCCCGATATTAACGACGTGGTCTCGACGGTATTTGGGCCCAATGCGGCCGCGGCCGTCAACGATTTGCATTCGCGAAAAGGTAACTATTTCAGGAGGTTGATTAACGAGGTGATAAAAACGAAATTGCGAAGTAGGAAGGTGACACCCGAGTATCCCAAAGTTGTAAGCAAAGGTGATCCGCACACGAAGATCTTCGAGTTGGCTTTTGCCTTGCCCACGACCTGCAATACGAAGTACTTAGATCGGGCAATTTGGAGCAGATTGGCGTGTAAAGGTTTGGAGAAGATGTATTCGGACAGTTTCTGGCAGTTGGTGAACGAGGCAAGGGCGGAGTTTGTAAGAGTCATGCATCAGTTTGGAGTTATTTGCGTTGTAATTCCTCCTGACAGCTCCGTCGAAGGACATTTTACTCTCCCGTGTTATAAGCACCTGGGTAGAACACCATTTCACTCCACCTTTCTGAAGATTATCAAAAGGTTTGAAAAAAGACTCCTGATAACGTTTCCTCTAGTGCGGCAAATTTTGCGGTTGTGCGTGCAAGATTTACCACCATGTTTGCTAACACTCACCGTATTTCGCGATAGAACCTACGACATATCCGAGTTGCACTCCATATTCGACCAAGAACTTAAGAAGGCGAAAGAAAACATTCAACTTTGGTATGGGCAAGTAGTAGAGTTTGTACGGACGAAGAAACTCAAACTTCCTCAAAATCTCCATTATGCAGCTTACAGCTGTGGTACCACTTTAATGGCGACATTTTTGACAAAGTCAATACGAACCACCATAGAGCACCTCTTAGAGGTAACGGCGTGTGAAAACGACCTGCCGTTTATCTCGATGAGTATGCGATACGACCGGAAAATAAAGCTGGATCCATCCATAACCAAAGTGTGCCATTTGTACACCCAGTTGGTAGCAAAACTAGCTTCCATCGCCGAAAATTTGCCATCACTTGAAAGTTACCATTGTGCGAGTTACTCGAACGCCACAATTCCTATTTTTGTACCCGATGATTTACAAAGTTACTATGAAAAACGCGTCATGAGTAACGTGGTTAACATTTTTGCGTCTGTCAATTTGTACGTTAAGACATTGAACGACGAGTTTTCCGGCGTATATTCGGAGCGTGAAGGGGAGGGTGGTGGTATGTCTACAGATGAAACTGATGCTGAAGGTTCCAGAAGACAGTCTGGTGTTCTTACCAGGTCAATTGAGGTGGAAGTGTCGGCTGATTTAATGCGCTTCTTGGAGGAATTGGAAGGTGGAGGTTCGGGCGGCGACCCCGTTACGGCAGATATAACATTTGAAGAAGGGTACGCAAAGGTTGAAATTTATCGAACCTATTTGAGCAAACTGTCGATCATGCTTGACATTGAGCACTATTTAGTGGGTCAGTTAGTGCAATCGTCATGCAGGAAAGCTATTAGTGACGCGTTGAACAACATGATACAAGCAGTGGCAAACCGGCTGGTCTCACAGCACATGTGGTTGAACGAGGACATCTGTGAACAATTTGAAATGATCAAAATTCGCGCACTTGGCGTGCCAGAAACTGCCGAGGAGTTAATCGAACAAAGCGCTTTTATGGTATGGGCGTCCAATGAGCATATAAGCGAGCTCAGAGAACGCATCCAGTATTCCATAACCGTTATCTGCAATCTTGTCGAAATGACAACTCTAACCAATGAGCACATCGACCTCAATTCCAGAACCATAGCTTGGCTTACGGATATTAAACCAATTTTGGAAAAAAATTCCGCGCTGTTCGAAACGAGTAAGTTTGATTTTGAAGAACAGCTCCAACAATCCATTGGCAAATTGTATAACGAGATCGAGGACTTTTTACCGCTGCTGATAACTGTCAATTCCATGAACGACGTGTCCAACTGCAAGGAGTATATCCAAGCAATGTCTCCTCTAATGTCCAAAGTGCAAGAGATGGAAAATCTTTTGACTTGGATCAATAAGGAGGAAACGGTTTTTAAGTTTCCCCTCACCACCTGCCCCGATCTGAAAGAAATTAAGCTTTTTTTACATCCCTTTTATCATCTTGTAAGGGTCTGCTTCGGAATTATCCGAAGTATGGACACTTGGATGTACGGTCCATTCGAATACTTAGATTACTCACTTGCCGAAGCTAAACTGGACGAGAGCTTTAAAGAGCTATCAACAACTCAAAAGTATTACAAAACCAAAATCAAGCAAGGAACGCAAGAAACTTCGCGACTGAAGTTCGAAGGTGTCCCAGACGATCCGGATCCCTTACTGCACCCCTCTCCCATGAGATTGTGCGCCCAAACTATGCAAATGATCAATGATTTCAAGCCCGCCTTAAATATGATGAACATCATGTGCAACGAGGCGATGTTGCAAAGGCACTGGGACGAAATGTCGGAGATCGCCGGTTTTGATCTAACCCCCGACGCAGGTACGACATTGGCCAAGCTGATGAAATTGGGGATCACGTCGGATATCGACAAATACGAGATCATTAGCAGCGGCGCAATTAAAGAAAGGCAACTTCTGCACAATCTCTTGAAGATGCAGGATGAATGGGATACTGTCCTGTTCAAGACTTGCGTCTTTAAAGATACAGAAATGCACATCTTGAGTGCACCAGACGACATACAGGCGGTGTTGGATGAGCATATCGTAAAGACACTCACTATGAGAGGTTCGGTCTTTGTCAAGCCTTACGTGAGCGAAGTAGGGAGTTGGTACGCTAAAATCACGCGCATCAACGCAACTCTCGACGAGTGGCGTAAAGTGCAAGCCCAGTGGTTGTACTTGTTGCCAATTTTTTCTTCAAAGGACATCGTAAGCCAAATGCCCGAAGAAGAACAAATGTTTAAGGAAGTCGACGGCGTTTACCGACGATACATCGACCTGATCATGGACGAGCCGAAAGTAATCATCAGCGCTTCACATCCGAACCTCTTGGAAAACCTGAAGAATTGTAGCGATTTGCTCGAGAGAATCAATGAGGGGGTCTCATATTACCTCGAGAGGAAAAGGCTGTACTTTCCCCGATTCTTTTTCTTGTCGAATGACGAGATGTTGGAAATTCTGTCGGAAACCAAAGATCCGTTGCGCGTGCAGCCTCACCTGAGGAAGTGCTTCGAGGGAATTCAAACGTTGGCGTTTGATGATTGTCTGAATATACACGCTATGGTGAGCCGCGAAGGCGAGAAAGTTAATTTTCTAAAAGTGATCGATACTGTAGCCGCAAGGGGAAGCGTCGAGAAATGGCTGCTTCAAGTGGAGGAGGAAATGGTCGCAGCTGTCAGTCATCAGATTGCTTTAGGCCGTGCGGCCTATGCGGAAACCAACAGGACAGAGTGGATTACATTATGGCCTGGTCAGGTGATTCTCGCAGTTTCTCAGATGTATTGGACCATGAATGTGCATCGTACGTTGAGTTCCGACAGTAGAAGTGTATTCGCGGATTTTTTGCAGCAACTTGACGAAGCTTTAAATGACGTTGTCGCACTAATTCGCAGTGAATCGCTGTCGAACTTGGCTCGAATTACTATAAAAGCATTAATTGTAATGGATGTCCACGCAAAGGATGTCACTCGATCTTTATTTGACAACAATGTCAAGAGTGCTACCGAGTTCAAATGGTTGGCCCAACTCCGATATTACTGGGAGGAAAGGTGTGCGGTTCGGATCATAAATGCGACTGTAAAATATGCTAACGAGTATTTGGGAAATAGTGATCGTCTGGTAATAACCCCATTAACCGATAGATGTTATCACACCCTTATCGGTGCGTACCACTTGCACCTCAATGGCGCCCCTGAAGGTCCCTCTGGTACCGGTAAAACGGAAACGACAAAAGATTTGGCCAAAGCTGTAGCTGTTCAATGTATAGTGTTTAATTGCTCCAACGGTTTGGATTATAAAGCTATGGGCAAATTTTTAAAAGGACTGGCGTCATCGGGCGCGTGGGTTTGTTTTGACGAATTTAACAGAATAGACGTTGGAGTACTGTCGGTGGTTGCCCAACAAATACTTTGCATTGTTTTGGCTGTTCGATCGCATGTTGATAAGTTTATGTTTGAAGGAACTGAACTCTGTCTGAATCCTACTTGTTACGTGTGCATCACTATGAGTACTGGATACGCGGGACGCTCCGAGCTGCCCGATAATCTAAAGGTGCTATTTCGCACCGTCGCGATGATGGTGCCGGATTACGCCATGATTAGTGAAATCTCGTTGTACTCGTATGGATTTGCAGACGCTAGAAATCTGTCGGTTAAAATCGTAACCGTCTTTCGATTATGCTCGGAGATGTTGTCATCGCAGTACCACTACGACTTCGGAATGAGAACCATCAAATCAGTACTCTCCGCTTGCGGTAACAAGAAACACAAATATCCCCACGAAAATGAAGATATACTCTTGCTCAGATCCATTCTGGATATAAACTTGCCAAAGTTTCTCCAACATGACGTTCCTCTGTTCGAGGGGATTATTTCGGATTTGTTCCCAGGAGTTGCTTTACCCAAAGTCGATTACGCGAGATTTGTTGAAGCTATAGACGTAAGTTGTAAACGAAGAAATCTACAAGTGAAAGAATGCGTAACTCTGAAGATCATCCAAACTTACGAAATGATGATTTTGTGTCATGGTTTTATGTTGGTGGGGAACCCGTTCGCTGGAAAAACTACGACCTTAAAGGTCTTGGCGGACTCTCTCACGTCACTGTCAAACACTGATGAAAACCAAGTGCCTGTGAAGCATCAGTTTATTAATCCCAAATCGGTTAGTATGGGTCAGTTGTTCGGTCAGTTTGATCCAATTTCGTACGAATGGATCGATGGGATCGTGGCAACTTGTTTTCGTAATTTCGTAATGGACACGTCACGAGATCGAAAGTGGATCATCTTCGATGGGCCGGTCGATACGGTTTGGATCGAGAATTTGAATACAGTCATGGATGATAACAAAAAATTGTGCTTGATGTCTGGAGAGGTTATAGCCATGACCAACGACATGTCAATGATTTTTGAGGTAATGGATTTGTGCCAAGCGTCTCCAGCAACGGTAAGATTTTAGTTAACCACCCAAATAATATTAATTTTATTCAGGTGTCACGTTGCGGAATGATCTATATGGAATCCACCACGCTGGGTTGGCGATCCCACGTGGAATCGTGGCTCCCTCTTTGCAGCGATGAGTGGATGAGGTCAAACGAGGATTACATTTTGACTTTATTCGACTGGATCGTACCCCCTTCTCTGAGCTACATCAGAAAACATTGCAAACAGCTGTGCAGTGCGAGCGAAATAAGTTTATTAAGGAATATGATGCAAGTTATCCAGATGGTAATCACCGATGCTGTACACGACCCATCTAAAAAGGAAGAGGACTCGAAATACATTCACAGTTGGATTCAAGGATCCTTTATGATGGGACTGGCGTGGGGGTTGGGGTCAATTTTGGACACCCCATCACGCTACAAGTTTGACGAGTTCTTCAAGTCCATTTTCAAAGACGCCGAAGCCCCGATTCCTCCACTAATAGAAAAATTGGAAGTCTCTATACCAAGCGAGGGAATTATTTTTGACTACTGCTTCGTTTTTAAAAGTAAGGGATCTTGGAAGTACTGGCCGGATGTCATCAAAACCATGAAAGTCGACGAAGCTAAGGACATCCACCAAGTTTTAATTCCGACTGTGGACACCGTCAAATACATGTACATGATTGATCTTCACATCAAGTATAGCTTTCCGATTTTGTTGATAGGTCCTTCCGGAACCGGAAAAAGTTTCTACGTTCAGGATTTACTGATGAATAGATTAGACCAAGAGAAATATGAGCCCGCGTTTATCACTTTCACTGTTAAGCTTTCGGCAGCGCAAACACAAGAGTTGATCATATCCAAGCTAACCAAGCGAAAGCGCGGACATTACGGACCATCGGCAGGAAAATCATTCGTGATGTTTGTAGACGATCTCAACATGCCTGTAAAGGAAACGTACGGTTCCCAACCACCCATCGAATTACTCAGGCAGTACTTTGACCACAAGCATTGGTACAATCTCAAAGACACTTCCCCTATTTATTTGCACGAGATTTTCATCATGGCGGCTATGGGACTTCCGGGGGGCAGCCGGCAAGAGGTTTCCCCAAGGTTTCTGCGTCATTTTAGTATTTTTTCGATTAACGAATTTTCCGATGAAACCATGTGTAAAATATATTCTAACGTACTTTCTCTTGGATGGAAAAACAACGGCTTTCCCAGTGACACCGTGAACATTGTCCAACAGTTGGTAAACGCCACCATAGACATCTACAAGGCTTCCATCCACTTCCTGCTGCCGACACCAGCGAAAAGCCATTACGTATTTACTTTGCGTGACTTTTCGCGTATTATCTACGGATGCGCGATGCTAAGGAAAGACTCGTCAGACAACAAGACGATTTTTCCCAAAGTTTGGGCTCACGAAGTACTACGCGTGATACATGACAGATTGATAGACGGCGGTGACAAGCATTGGTTGTTTAACAAAATCAAATTTTCCATCCCGAACTTCTTCAAGGAGCAGTTTGAGAAGGTTTTCGAAAATTTTCAAAATGAAGATGGCACCGTGACCGAAGAATCATTGCAACGATTACTATTTGGAACATATTTAGCCACAGATAGCAGCGAAGACGAAGTTAAATATGAAGAGATTACAAACCTTGAAGAATTTCGAACTGTCGCAGAAAATTGTTTAGAAGAGTACAACTCGAAGCATAAGAACAAAATGGACGTTGTTCTATTCCAGTACGCCTTAGAGCACATGTCCAGAATGTGTCGAATATTAGCGATGCCAAGAGGAAGTGCTTTGCTGGTGGGGATTAGCGGATCTGGGCGACAGTCACTCACTAAGTTAGCCACCATCATAACTGGCCATTCCGTTTTTCAACCGGAGATCACGAAGAATTATGGAATGAACGAATGGCGCGAAGAGATCAAGCAGATTGTGAAAGAGGCTGGTGGAAGGGGGAAAAATACTCTGTTTCTGATCACAGAAAGCCAAATAAAGGACGAAGAATTTCTGCAAGATGTCGATTGCTTACTAAATACGGGTGAAGTTCCGAATCTATTTCAGGTCGAGGAGAAACAGGAAATTATGGAATTGTGTCGTTTAGAAGCACAAGGGGGGAACAGAAACATTGACATAAGTCCATTGGCCGTCTTTAGTTTCTTCATCAAGCGTACGCGCGAGAAGCTTCACTTGGTGCTGTGCTTTAGTCCAATTGGTTCGACGTTTAGGCTTCGATTGCGGCTATTTCCGTCGCTTATTAATTGCTGCACAATTGACTGGTTTGAAGATTGGCCCGAAGATGCACTAGAACAGGTTGCCGAAACTTGGATAACAGATGTGAATTTAGATGCCGACATTAAAGCTGCGGCAATAGCGACATGTAAATATTTTCATGTGTACGCAAGAAAGATTTCAGTTGCGTTTTTTGCGGAAACTTTTCGAAATACATACGTCACCTCCGCATCGTACTTGGAACTCATAAAAATATTTGCGGATTTAACGACACAAAAGCAAAGTGAGCTGTTGGCCGCCAAAAATCGTTACATGGTGGGTTTGGAAAAATTACAGTTTGCTGCGGATCAAATCCTCGAGATGCAACTCAATCTTGAAGCTTTCCAGCCCGAACTGGAAACTATGAGCCAAAAAGCGACCGCGATGATGGAGCAGATCGCGAGGGAAACCTTTGAGGTAGAGAGAGCGTCGGCTTTAGTAAGGAGGGACGAAGAAGTTTCGAACGCCCAAGCCGCTGGTGCGCAGGCTTTAAAAGCGGAGTGCGAAGCCGATCTGGCCTTTGCCATACCAATCTTAGAAGAAGCTATAGAAGCGTTAAATACCCTAAAACCTACAGACATAACCTTGGTCAAGTCCATGAAGAATCCTCCAGAACCCATTAAGTTGGTGATGGCGGCAGTGTGCGTTATCAAGGATGTCAAACCTGATCGCTTACCTGATCCTTCAACCGGTAGAAAAATAATAGATTACTGGGGACCGAGCAAGAGAATTTTGGGGGACATGAATTTTCTTCAATCCTTAAAAGATTTCGACAAGGATAATATTAGAATCGAAATAATGGTCAAGATAAGGAAGGACTATTTGCCGCATAAAGATTTTAAACCGCATGTCGTTGCGAAAGCGTCGAGTGCCGCCGAGGGTTTGTGCAAGTGGATAATAGCAATGGACATGTACGATAAGGTGGCGCGGGAAGTTGCACCGAAGAAGGCGAAACTAGAGGAAGCCGAAAGGGAATATGCCGCGACCATGGCCGTACTGCTTGAAAAAAAGTCCGAAGTTGCTAAATTGGAACAAAAGTTGGCAGACCTTAATGTGCTTTTTAAGGACGCAACCGAGAAAAAGGAAAGTCTTCAGGAGCGAGTTGATGTGTGCGGGGAAAAGCTGGGTAGGGCGCGAAAGTTGATTGGGGGTTTGGGTGGAGAAAAAACCAGGTGGGGTGTTACAGCCGATCATCTACAAGCGTTGTACGACTGTCTTGTTGGTGACGTTCTTATATCGAGTGGAGTGATAGCGTATTTGTCCTCATTTACTATGAAATGGCGCAACGAGGCTGTAGCGGATTGGTTAATTTTTTTAGAAAAGACGGATGTCCCTGTCACTGCGACGTACGACTTTACAAGAACCCTGGGTGGCGAAGCCAAAATTCAAGATTGGTACATTTCCGGATTACCTCGCGACGCTTTTTCAATGGAAAACGCAATCATACAGGAGAATTCGAAACGTTGGTCTTTGTTGATTGATCCACAGTCCCAAGCCAACTTGTGGATCAAAAAGATGGAGAGGAAGAACGATATTCGAGTAACCAAATTTTCTGACAGTAATTACATGAAGGTGTTAGAATTTTGCATTGAATCAGGAAAGCCAGCCCTGATTGAAAACATTCGTGAAGATTTAGAGGCTCCTTTAGATTCACTTTTGTACAAGACCAAAGGTGCCTTAAATGTCATCGCACTTGGTGATCACGTTATAACGTGCCATGAAAACTTTAAGTTGTATCTCACGAGCAAGATGAGAAACCCGCACTATCCTCCGGAGGTATTTAACAAAGTTACCATCATAAACTTTGCCCTTATGACTGTTGCTTTGGAAGATCGGCTTTTAGGAATCGTGGTAGCTAAGGAGCGTCCAGATCTACAGCGAAAACGAGAAGAATTAATAGTGGAAAGTATGAAGAACAAGGCCGCCCTCATGAATCTAGAGGAGATGATCCTTACAACATTGTCTGAATCCAAAGGCGATATTTTGGATGATGAAAATGCCATCAAAATTTTGGATCAAACCAAAACCGTTTCGAATGACGTTGTAAACAAACAGACCCTCACAAAAGAAACCGAAGCACAAATCGAACATTGTCAACTAGACTATAAACCAGTTGCTACGCACTCCACCGGGTTGTATAATTGCATTTCGGATCTTCCAAGCATCGATCCAATGTACCAATATTCACTGGGGTGGTTCATAAATTTGTACGTAAACTCAATCGATGCAGCTGGTAAATCTCGTGACTTACACAGGCGGATATTATATCTGCAGGACAACTTCACCTATAATTTATATACAAACGTTTGCCGATCACTCTTCGAAAAAGACAAACTTATGTTTTCCTTTCTACTCTGTGTGAAGATTATGTTGCTCAAAAACAAAATAAGCGAGGCAGAGTACGCGTTTTTAATCACCGGTGGAGTAGACTTGGAAAATCTCATTCCCAACCCGTCTCCTGACTGGCTCAGCTCTAAATCGTGGAATGAGATCTGTCGTTTAGATAACGTGACCGTATTTGGAGGCCTTCAGCATTCATTTACCAAATACCCAAACGAATGGAAGACTTTTCATGATTTGCTAGAACCTCAGGACTCCCACCTGCCCGCGAAGTGGGATTCAAAACTAACAACCTTCCAAAAACTGTTAGTAATTCGCGTACTGCGACCAGATAAAATTACCGTGTGCATTTCGAAGTATGTATTGGAAGAAATGGGAACGAAATTTACGATCCCTCCTCCTTTCGATATTGCGAAGTCGTTCGAACAGTCCAACTGTTTATGCCCACTCGTGTTCGTATTATCTTCGGGTACAGACCCGATGGCGTCCCTACAGAAATTTGCCGAGGTGAAGGGATATGCCGATAAATTTCGCTGCATTTCCTTGGGCGAAGGAGGAGGCGCACTAGCTCAAGCGCTTATCGAGCAAGGGAAGGATGAGGGAAGTTGGGTTTGTCTGCAGAATTGCCACCTCGCGTTGTCGTGGATGAACTCTTTGGAACAACTTTGGGAAGGTTTGGACACTTCGAATACTCACCTCAATTTTCGTTTATGGCTGACGAGTTACCCTTCAGATAAATTTCCGGTTTCCATTCTACAAAATGGCGTAAAGATGACGAACGAGCCACCTGCTGGGCTTCAGCAGAACTTATTACGATCGTACATAAATGAACCTGTAAAAAACGAAGTATTCTACACTGGTTGTCCCGGGAGAGATCTAATGTTTGCCAGGTTGCTTTACGGCATCGCCTTTTTTCACGCGGTTATTCAAGAACGTAGAAGCTACGGCCCTCTGGGTTGGAACATACCGTACTGCTTTAACGATTCCGATTTCGATATATCAGTACAGCAGCTGCAGATGTTCATCAACGAATATCACCATAATCCCTACGAGGGTATCTCTTATTTGACGGGAGAATGCAATTACGGTGGGAGGGTGACAGATGACTGGGACCGTCGGCTTTTAGTGACGCTATTAGAGCACTATCTAAATCCGGAAGTTGTGATGAAATTGGATTATTCCTTTTCTGAGATTGCGAACTATTACAACATTCCGAGAAAAGCGAATTACGACGGTTTCGTTAAGCACATCGTGTCTTTGCCTCAATTTCACCCTCCGGAAGTGTTCGGTTTGCATCACAACGCCGGCATAAGTAGAGATCTTCAAGTTTCCAATTCGCTGTTAAACTCCTTGGTTTTGCTGCAGGGAGAGAAGAATTCCCACGGCGACGATGGAGAGCAGTTTTTGAATTTGATCGTTTCGGATATACTCGAAAAGGTACCGGATAACTTCGACTTGGAGGAAGCCCAGTTGAGGTATCCCGTTCGTTATGAGGAATCGATGAACGCGGTGCTCGTACAAGAAATGGTACGTTTCTCCAAATTGTTGAACGAAATTCGCAGCTCTTTACTTACCATTCAGAAAGCGAATGAAGGACTTGTTGTCATGACTCCTGACCTGGAGGTTTTTCAAAACGAACTACGTTTAGGGAGAATCCCAACTGCATGGGCCAAGGTGTCTTATCCCAGTTTGAAATCATTACCCGATTATATAGCCGATTTCGTTGAACGCATCAACTTCTTAGAGAAATGGTCTGTGAACGGTAAACCGAACAATTTTTGGATTTCCGGTTTCTTCTTTATCCAGGCGTTTTTGACCGGTGCGAAGCAGAACTACGCCCGCAAGTATACAAAGACAATCGATCAATTAAAATTTGACTTCAAGATTTTAAAAGTGGACTCTACGAATACGGCACCCCATGACGGCATTTACGTGTATGGCTTATATACAGATGGTGCCAGATGGGATCGCGACCATGGCGTTTTAGCCGAACTACACCTGAAAGTTTTTCACGACTACATGCCCTTAATTTGGTTGATACCAGTTATGGTATCGGACTATGATGAAACTGGAAGATATAAGTGTCCTCTATATAAGACATCCGAGAGAAGAGGAGTGCTTTCGACAACAGGGCATTCGACTAATTACGTGTTACCGTTTCTCCTAAATACTGACATAAATCCTTCCCATTGGATTAAGCGGAGTGTTGCCTTATTGTGCCAGCTTGATTAAAATGGTTTAAATTGTGTTTTAAAAGATTTTGTAAGCCCATAAAAAATGTATTTTTAAGAAATAAAGTTTTAGTTGCAACTTTCTTGTAAAACCGTATTTGTATCGAAATCTATTATTGACGGACCAAATCTACCCTGATCTTTTAACAAGTTCCTATGCACTTTTAATTTTATTTCCATGTTTGTAGTGAAAGAGTATTGTACAATTATATTGATTTCCTGTAAAATATTTCACTACTTCTCGAAATTTTATTCCGTGATTTTATCGATTCGTTAACTTGAGGTGGTATGTGAATTTAAGACGTTGTATTACGTTTAACCGTTTAATACCAACTTGATTAAATAATCAAGGAAAAAACACAAATTGCCTTGCTTTTGCCTTTCAGTGCGAATTTTGTATTAAATACAATAATTTTGAAAACTTAAAAATAACTGAAATTTTACCCAAGATACACACGTTTTTTCAACATCCTTGGAATAACATTTGTACTATGATTCTATCATGGACTTTTTCAGATTATCAAACGTTCATTAGGATCTTTACGCATGTATGGTCATTGACAAAAGTAATGATCGCCTAAATAGGTAAGCTCTGCACCATAAGCAACGAAGATGCCTATCACATCGGGCTCCGTAGGTTTCTTCAAGGAGAAGATATCTTAATTTGAGGAATTTTGCGACTATCATTGTAAAAAAATGCTGATATAAAAATTGCGACGTTGTTGTAAAATCAGTGCATTTTTTTCGAAGTTAATGTACCTATTGTTACCATCGACATAAATAGAAATGGACTGCGCGTGCCAATGCTAAGCGCGGATACTGCAGATGAGCGAGAGGGGAAAACTAAGAGGCAAGCTCTCTCTATCGAACTTATGTTGGTCGCGCTGCCACAGCACTGTCGATAGTATGCGACCAACTAGAGAGAGAGAGCCTGCCTCTTAGTATTCCCATCTCGCTCACCTACAGTATGCGCGCTTATCATTCCATTTCTATGTGTCGATGATTGTCACCCTGTAAACCGTGTCTCTATTTAAACCAACGGTAGTCGTAGCTTGAATTTTGAAATCGGACATCTGAAGCAGAACGCACATTTTGATCCGACTGCAATGGGATTGGGTGCTGCTATCATATTTAAAGAGAGATAGTAGTAAAATATGATGTCTATAGTGCACGTTATTTTAATTATATTTAATGTTATTGTGAAATGTATTTAATTTGAGTGATCAACGCGATTTTTACGATGTATAATGTCGGCTAATGTTAAATATACTGACACGCATTTACATTTACCTTTTATATCAACATGCTATTGGTTTTTGCCGTTGGCTGCTCGTATAATATCAACTAATAAATAATCAATTTTCATCGGTAGTTATTAATTGCATTCATATGCGGCTTATGCAATTGTATTTGCTGCTGATTATTGTGCACTAAATATCGTAATAGTATATTAAGATACAAGTGTATAATCAAGTCTTTAAAGCACGCGCAACGAGTTTAAGGGCACGACGCAAAGCGGAGTGCCTTTAACGTTGCAAGTGCTTTAAAGACCAATTATACACGTGTATCTGATAGTATTTTTTATTATACCTGCAGTATAATTTAAAAATAGGAAATACAATGAAATCAGATTGACGTTATACTCGAATACATGTTTAATTAAGTGGGCTGGGTGTTCGAAATTTCACGATTGCCATGGAAATGTCACTTGACGTTTGCTTATAAAAATCATCGTCTTTGTAAATAAAACGATTTCCGTTGAAAAAGATAATACACCGTCCATTAAATCGCTTGTTGTAAAATCTAAACAAACGTTGGTAGGTTTAAAATCCAAATCCAGTAAAACCTATTATCAGGAATATGAAAAGTTGTTTCCATGGATGAATAGGAAGTTACTTACGAATAATAAAGTCTTAAATGCATCGATAATGCTGGCATATATGACCGAACTGTCAAAGGTATTTAAATCTTCTATCTTTTAGTGCATTCATTCAAAACTTTAAAGCAATGCTGCGATTAAAAAGTGGAACAGATTTGAAAGCGACCTAAGAGGATTTTTTATTTCATCCAGATGACAGTTTCAAAAGTCATACTGGAAGTATCGTTACTTAGCAACTTTAAAGCACGTGTGTTTTAAAGGCCCTTTTTCGCACGCATTTGAGTGTTTAAAACGGAGATTGTGATTCAGGTATAATCAAAAAGTAGTTTTAAAATCACATTTTTTATATTAGTCGATTTCCGGATCTACCAAGAGACTTTGTAAACCCTGGAAACGTTGTGAAACCTCAGTCTTGTAGTGAAAATCGTTTTTATCCTTACGCATTTGTCGATTTTTGAAAAAAATTCGATAGTAATTTGAATTTAGAAACGTTTTTTAGTTCCGTTTTTATTTGCTCTTTTTAGGTAAGTACATCTAGAAATGTATATTTGTTTTTTTTCTTTTTCGTGGTTACGATCTGTATGGGAAAGCGTGATTTTGATTGGAGACAAACCTTTACGAGTGATGTTTGAATTGATTTTACATTACATGAGGATGTGAGCGGAAAGATTTTGATTATTCGCGTTAGTTTGTGGAAAAAATGTTGTATTTAACACTAGCGCGAAAAACTCAAGTGCACTGATACCACATTTTAAAAATATACAAAGGGGTGCAACCTGAGGATTAATAATCTTGCAAATACTTCTACATCTCTTCAAACTCCGATATAAATCTAGTACAGTTTTAGTATACGATTTACCCTAATGTCAGACATTAGACATTGCTACCGCAATATTTATGTTTCGCGCTATTCACTATCCCTCTTGTTTGTTTGTGTTATTTGTTACAGATAAGGCATAAAAGCGCCCTTCTGAGTTCAAAAGGCTAAAAAAACCAGAATTCAATTCAAACTAATTTCTATTTTCGACGATTCCTTTATACATCGTATGATTACATACTGGTTTTCGATACAATCGAAGTGTAATTACTACATGTGTTTGATGGTAATTTAACCATAATTATAGCTCCGTTGCTTTTTGCGGAAGCCTGTTTTGATATTGAAATTGCCCAGACTACGAGTTGATCCCCTTTTTGCTAAAAATTTATTTAATAAATTTAAACATTGATATTTCAGATCTAGATATTACAGTGTTCTATTTGTAATATTGTGAGATTATTAATTAAATCATCCTCGATTCTGACAACAATGGGCTCATCCCGCCTTCATTTTTTATTTCTGATCCACAAAGTACATTAAAAATAAAAAGACCCGTGTGTCCTCAATTTTTATTTGCGAGTAAAATAAACCCAAAATAAATTATTGAAAAGCTGTGTTTTTAGTCCAAATTTGAAACGCTTCAGACTAAATACGTCACAAACCTACAACCAATCACGTAGAAGTGAGCTGGCAACCTTACCCGAGGGTCTAACGTTTGTCACATTTGACTTTTTGAGAGGGATGTTTAACTGCTTCTAGCAGGAAAGTGACAAGTGCCTGTGACAGATGACGCAAGTTATAAATGCCATTCTCCTGCAATATTGCCAAGTCGTTATGTCATCTGAATGGTTCTAGGAGCTGATTGGTCGGGCTTATTACGTCACAGAGCCCGCCACAATCATATCGTTTTGAATAAACCTTTAAAACCGCACACGTTCATTATTTTTTTGCTAATCAGCCTCTATTTTTAAATAAACTTTTACTGTCCAAAAAAATGTTTTATGGTTTCAGGTACACGGTTATTAAATTAGAACTGCGGAATTCAACTACACTGTAAACCCCCATTATGGTTTATGTTCTGCCTTGTCATTTATTTTATTTCTTTACCTTATCAAGATCAGAACAAGGATCCCTTAGTCTGCCGTGTTCCCCCTTTCGGTAAGTATTCCTTTTTCTCTTTTGAAATTTACTAAAAACTAAGTGGCACCTATTCGGTTTACTATTGCTTCATTTCGTTTTTGCTTCGTTTTGGCTAGTATACAAAAACCCCATTATTCATCCCTACTACCCACTTCTACTTTTCTTGAGCTCATCTCCTGGTAATTTTGTTACGTTTGCTCAAAGTGAGCGTAACAACACTGCAAACGAAAGTACCAAGAAACCACGATGGCCTTTAAAAAATTGGCTTTGTTGTCGAAACGCGTACATTTTGTTTCTTGGTGTCGTTTCAATTTTTGTTTCTGACAGCTAGTGACGTTACCTGTTTTGACATTGCTATCTGTTAGAATTCGGGTGTGAAACTGATTGATTTCTTGTAGTTCGTGTATAAAGATAACATTTTTTGGTGGCTGTAAACTTTTGTGTACAAGTTTTGTGGGACATTACCACTTAATCGTCTGACTTCTTTTTATTAAAGGACATAATTCAGCAGCGTCAAGAATTTTACAAGGACATCGAATTTATGTAATTGTACGTACTTTTACTATTGTTTTTATTTTTTATTTAACACGGTTTCGGACCGTTTCACTTTATGTTGTTACTTCAACAATTGAGAAGTCAACGATTAATCGAATTTATTAAGATCGTTCCGCACCTCAGTACCATCTTCCATTTTTGGTAACTACGTGTATTTTGATATAGAAAAGCAATTAAATATGACGAACGTGAAAATGATCAATATTGAATAATTTTAAACCAGAAAATGACAGGACAGCCACTACGCGGCTTTTAAGGCTCGATGCACACTTGGGTGTTTTCAAGCCGCGTGCAAGTAGCGGGCGAACGCCGCCGGTTTAGCAGTGCATGGGTTCAAGTTGCACAATACACAGTAGTCCAGACAATAGGGAACATATGAGGACCTTAGCTTGCAAAATTAATGATAGTTTTGGAAATAGGCATATGTTTCTTGGGTTGCTGAATCCAAATTTCCCACATAAATTCCTTCCGCAACCCCCCCAAATCTTGAAAATAATAATAAAATTTGCCTTTTAAAGAAATCGTTTTTTTTATTTCACCTACAAATTTGAAATGTAGGTAAAGTGTGCAACCAAAAGCGTTCTAAAACATTTTGACGTACTACGCACGT